GACTATAGTGTGTTTGAACTTAGAAAAACCAGCAGTTGATACACCAGATCTGCAAACTTCGCATTTGCGATGTCTGGCTCGCAAATGCGAGCCTCGCATTTGCGAAGAGGCCATCGCATTTGCGAGCAGTGGGCTGGGAGGGACACATTCGCATTTGCGAAGTTTTTGATCGTATTTGCGATCCTAGCAGTTCGCATTTGCGAATGCTGTGTCGCATTTGCGAGGCCAACAAGCTGAGGCAATCTTCGCATTTGCGTAGAAAAGTTCGCATTTGCGAACCCCAAGCCGCAAATGCGACACCTGTAATTGATAAAAACTTAAGTTAGACGGGATGTTTCTCCCATTCATCAAATTTTCAAATCCTAGAACCCTAGAGGCGATTGTTTCAAGACCATTTCTTCCCCAAAACATTGGTAAGTGATTCAAACCCATTTTCTTTCAATCTTTCATTATATTTCACAAATCTTTAACCTAAAATCTAGGATTTTCATGGTGAAAATTTGGGGTTTGGGTAGAATTAGGAATTTTTGAGAAATTAAAATTTTGACCTCGAATTGATATCGAATTTCAAAATAAATTATATAATCGGGCTCGAGGGTGAATGGGTAAATGGATTTTGGTCCGAACCTCGATTTTCACCAAGCGGACCCGGGGTCGATTTTTGACTTTTTGGAAAAAAGTTTGGGAAATCTAAATTTATGCATTGTAGTTGATTTCTTAAGCAATATTTGATGTTATTGAGTTAATTGTGGCTAGATACGAGTGGTTTGGAGGCAGATTCTAGGGAAAAGGCCCTGGTAGAGCTTTGAATTGACTGCGGAGTGAGGTAAGTGTTGTGTCTAACCTTGACTTGAGGGAATTAGGAACCTTCAGACTATGTGTTATGTGAATATCATGTGAGCGGCGTATATGCGAGATGACAAATGCTTATATGCCGCCGAATTATCTGTTTTCCCTGATTTATCATTTTTCCTTCATTATTTTATTTCCTGTCTTAGCTGTTATATGCTCTAGATGCTTTCTATGCTTAACTGTTACTTGTTAATCAATATCTTCTTTTGTTAATGATGTTAGCTCTTTTCATAGTTTTACAAATCCCTGCTATTTGCTTAAATTGACTTGTTTGCACCTTCTAATTGTAAATTGCTAGATTGGTCTCGCTGTGTAGCATTACTTGTGTAGATTCTTATGTTGTACAAGGTTTCCTTTTCGGTTCAGTTTGACATTTATTGATCGTAAAGGTTTGTGGTTTGAGCTGTTGATTTGACTATGTACATTGAGTGTTTGGTACTGATATGGTGGGATCGGGTTGCACACCGCAACAAGTGTAATAAGGGTGGATTGATATGGTAGAATAAGGGTGAATACTTATTGTACGGTAGGATCGGGTTGCATGCCGCAACAGGTGGAATAAGGGTGGATTGATATGGTAAAATAAGGGTGAATTATGATACTGACGCTGATATATGGTGGGTTCGGGTTGCGCGCCGCAACATATATATATTATTACTGTTGTTGATATTGCTACGGTGAAATAAAGGAGGATTTTGTGTTGTCTGGTGGGATCGGGTTGCGCGCGCAACAACCTATTTGTTTCCATTTCTTGTGTCGTGTTAGTTTTTTCGGTTTTGGTATTTGGACTGTTAAAGATTGGTAATTCTACATGACACTGGTTTATTTCTCGAGGTTGCGGTTATTATTTTTAGTTGACTGTTTAATTCTGTTCAATATTTCTATTATTCTGTCATTATTATATATACTACATACAGGTTTTAGTGTAGGTAACCCGCCTTAGCCTCGTCATTACTTTATCGAGGTTAGGCTCGGCACTTACCAGTACATGGGGTCGGTTGTACTGATACTACACTCTGCACACTCTGTAAATTTTGGAGTCGGTCCCAGTGGCGGTTATTAGCGTGCTCGGATTAGACATTTGCGGAGACTTGAGGTACAGTTGTTCAGCGCCCGCAGCTCCTGGAGTCCCCATCCTCTTTCTATTTAGCTGTGTATTTCCATTCGAACAACTTTGTATTCATTTCAGACCCTTATATGTATTACTCTAGAAGCTCGTGCACTTGTGACACCAGGTTCAGGGCTTTGTAATAGATGTTGGCTGGTTAAACTTCCGCATTTACACTTAGATCATTTCAGTTATTTAAGTTCTTTCTTAATTTTGTCATTTAACTGTTAAAGGAAATAAACTGTTCTAGCGTTGGCTTGCCTAGCAAGTGAAATGTTAGGCGTCATCATAGTCCCGGCGGTGGAAATTTCGGATCGTGGCATAAGAATACAGCAGTGAAAAGCACCTAAAATCAGGGTAGTCCAGCTGTACGCGCATGTATTCACATGTATTCACGCCATGTATTCATGAATACAACAGCAAAAAGTGCCTAAAATTAGGACAGTCCAGCTTTACGAGCATGTATTCATATGTATTCGCGCTGCTGTATTCATGAATACAGCAGTAAAAAGCGCCAAAAATCAAGGTAATCCAGTTGTACTCGCATGTATTCACATGTATTCGCGTCATGTATTCATGAATACAACAGCAAAAATCAGGGCAGTCCAGCTGTACGCGCATGTATTCACATGTATTCACACCATGTATTCATGAATACAGTAACGACAATCACCTTAAAAATAGATATGTCCAGCTGTCTAAGAAAGAGGAAGCACATAAATAGCATATTTCATACCTTATATCATGCCTCAATGATAGTATATACCATAAATACTTATTTTGCTATAAAATATAAAAGGTAGTTATAGAAAATAATATTGGTTTATAATAAATAGGGTGTATATCTTTGCTATAGGAGGTAAAATTTCCTATTTTTATTTTGCTCTTAATAAGATAATTTATTATTACACAAATGCCTAAGGCTTCTTTTAAAACACAAGTTTCAAAAGTTTACTTTTTCTTAACGGAAAATGGCTATTAATGTCCCTTTACTATTATATATTAGTTATTTATATCCTGCGTTATACTATTCAACCTTTTCTATCCCTGCCTCTAGGGTTATTGATAAATCTACCCCTCTTATTAACGGACCCAATCGACCCGGATACGTGGCACAATTTTAAGACACCCGACCATTTTTAAATCCAATAACCCATATCAAATGTACCCATTTCTTCATCTTTTCAATACTCAAATCTTAGGTTTCATGGTATCTCTTAAATTTTTTGCCTCCTCCTCCGATTTTCACACAAGGTATTACTATTACTATGATACAATAAATTTCTAGTTGGTTTCTTCTTATTTTGCTCCATCTGTTATTGCAAGATCTTTTAATTTTCTCACTTTTATTTCCGTAAATATGTCATTTAGTTTCAACAATGTCACAATGTAGTTGTTCATCTCAAGAAGTTGGTTCAAAAAGGAGGTGTTTATGCGGTATGACTGCCCACTACTTTACAGCTTATACTCCTTGCAACGCTGGTCGAAGATTCTACAAATGTCCTAAACCTGATGTGAGTTAATTTATATAATTATCGTATTTTGATTGTTTGATTATTTTCAAGCTTGAAATCGTTTGAATCATTTTTCCGAAAAATTTCTTATGGTTATTTCGAATGGGTTGATGAAGTATTATCGGATAGAGCAATGACTGTTATTTGCAAGTTGAAGTCACAATTGGAGGCAACTAAGCTTGAAAGGTTGAAATTAAAAGAAAAAGTAGAAGCAATGGAGGCCATAATTGAAGTTGGAGATACCAAAATAAGCATATTGAAGTCGATGTTGGATGAGGCTTATCTGGAAAGGGACTTATTGAAGAATAAAGTTGAAGAAATGGAGGCTACAAATCAAATGGAAAGGACCAATTCCAAGAAAATGGACTTAATTATTTTGATATCATGGGTCCTATTTGGTACCTTAATTGCAGCTTGTTTGATGAATTAAATATTATTTAGTGTTGGGCTATTTTGTATTATGAAGTTAAATTAGGTTGTATGATGAACATGACTCTTAGAGCAATGTAATATATGTTATTTTGTTGGGTGAAAGATGAAGTTAAATCTCCTTGCACCACCTATCTTCACTGCTAAAATTGCCTGTTTTGAACCAAAATTTTCATAGATGGAATTGTTCCTCTTGTTAGTATCGGACAAGTAACAACTTTTCACAATATAGTTGGGATAATAGCTGGACAAGTTCAAAGTAGAGTCTTTAGGTTTGGTTGGGATTGGTTTGTTAACTCATTAGATTTGAAGTTAGAAAAGCACCAGTGATTTGTGAGCTGATAATAATACTTGAGGACAAATCAAACTTGTTTATGGTGAAGCTATTACAGTACTTAAATTATGTATTGCTATTGCATTTGTTTGAAGATTCTCATCTATTAAACATAAAATTACTTGGTTCATATAACATGTTAGACCAACTAGATCAAAACATCAACGGAGATCAATACAACAAACCATCCAAATCTAGGTTTGTTCAACAATAGCTAAGATTCACATAAACTGGTTGATACATATAACATGATATTAAAATAATATAGAAAATAGATTAAATAACTATTACCATTAGTTTAAAATGTTAACTGTTAGGGCTCATTTGGTACGAGGTATAAGGGATAATTAATCCCGTGATTAAATTTGATTTGAGTCTATCCCATGTTTGGTTGGGATAAAATCGTGGTATAACTAATTCCGGAATTAGTTATCCCGGGACTGTAGTATTTTTTTATCCCTATGGAAGGATGGGATAACTAATCCTGGATAACTAATTTCGGGATAGTTAATCATGGGATAACTTATTTCCCAACCAAACGACCCCTTAAGGTACAGTTGAATTGACATACGGATGCCATATTATAACCCCAAAAGAAGTTACCACCTAAGTCATACTATGGCATCCAACTGTCATCACTACCTAGCAATAAAAGAGTAGTAGTAAATATAGTCGCAGAAGCCATAAATTACATCACCAACCGAATTGTTTTGACAAAAAACTAAGTTCCAAACTATTACTCCAAAAACCTACTTCCCATTACTCCAAAATGGTACTTTTCTTTCCCTTTCTTGCCTACAGCTTTTCAATTTTTTTCTGAGCTTGCATCTCCAGTTGGTTGCTAGTTACAACCTCTTTTCCCTTCCATGTGAGTCCTCTCGGTGAGTATGGCAGATTTGAAGGCTCACTCATACTAGTTGAACCACCTCTTAAGGTGATAACTCTTGTCACAGATAGAAGACTTGGCTCTTATCTCACCTGAAGCCTTGTCCTTGTCTCTGAAATAACTTTTGACCTTATAACAGAATCTTCTTCATCTGCAAATACTGGAGGTCAAAGTCTCCTACTAGTAACATCTCGGAGATTTGAAATGCTATCAAAAATAGTTGGGGTAGGAATGAACACAAGTGGACTGTTGGAGGCTTGACTATTTTGAGATTGTTGGGGACCTGATAATGGTATTTTTTTATTAATGTCTTCATAATCTACAGTTCTTTTCCTTTTCATTGTCTGCTTTCCTTTAGATTGAGCATTAGATGGCTGTCATAAATAAATAATAAATTGTTAGATAATAGAAAGTCTACTGCTAAAGACTAATAAGAGTAATAATCACCTTTGTACACCCTCTTGCATTATGATTTGGTTCTCCACAGTTGCTGCAGCTCATGGTTCTCCCTTTCCTTGAAGCAGACCATTCACCTTGTCTCTTACTTGCCTCATCTTTTTGCATATTTCTCTTTACCTTAGGCCCGCCTACTAACTTCACCAAATGTGGTGGTTCCATGGCCTGTGATGGGTCTATTTTTCAGAATTTCTCACCCCTAACAGGCTGCAACTTATGTGAATAAGTCTTTAGAGTAGCCTCTTTGCTATACCACTAATGCATTTGCTCCAGAGGGTCATTCCTCTTGTATATCACTACTCTAATTGTGTGAGGACATGGTATTCCTGAGAGTTACCATGCCCTGCAACTGCATTGCTTCAATTCCATTTTGACAGTATGTTTATCTGCTCCTTCTCTAATCTCATAACTAGCATCTCCATTAAAGTGAACTAGACATGTGTGAGCAATCTTCAAATAATCAGCATACAATTCATGCTTTGTGGACTAAAGTCATGAGTCCATGACTTTACTTGATCTTCATGTTCTCTCAACAAGGTCATAACCTTAACTCTAATATCTTCTAGCATCTTGATTATTGGTTTGTACCTTGCATCCAAGATCCATGCATTGAAAGACTCTGTGAAATTATTGTCCACTGCTATGTTTTTGCACACAGTATCAAAATAAGCTCTACACCATGACTGGGCAGGTTAATGTAGCAAATCTCTCATAGCATCTTCATCCATATCCCTCATAAGTGTTCCATGAACACCACTATAGAATCTTCTTCATCTCCCCAGATCTCCATCTCTTACACCAATTAACCTCAATGTATCTAACACAATATCTATGGTTAGCTTCAGGAAGTGCTATTTTTATTGCCTCAATCAGACCCTACAAGTCATGAGCAACCAGAAAAGAAAAATATTTAAAAACAGAAAGTGTACTGAAATGAACTAACCTACTAAGCTATAAAAAATAGAAAGTCTACTGAAATAAACTATAAACTAACCTACTAAACTATGAAAAATAGAAAACAACTGAAATGAAATAACTTATTAAACTATAAAAAAACAGAAAAGAATTGAAATAAACTAACATACTAAACTATAAAAAACAGAAAAGAACTGAAAAGTACGTTTTGCATGTCTGAGATGAAAGTGTGTCCTTCTCCATTCTGTAGGTCCAATGACCCTTTTAGCAATCCCAAAAACCAGTCCCAAGTCCTGTTTGTTGCTTTGTCCACTACAGCCTATGCTATAGGATAAAAATGGTTCATTGAGTCTTGACCAATAGCAACTAGAAGATGTCCTTTAGCTTTTTCCTTAAGAAATGTCCCATCCAATCCAATGAAAGGCCTCAAACCAGCCTTAAAACCTATTTTTAGTGCATTGAAACATATATACATTCTTAAAAATCTCCTCTTACCTTCAACTAGTGCATCTTTTGATAATTTAATAACAATATCACTTTCGGGATTACTGATCTTCAACTCATTGGCATATGCCTCTAACCTATTATACTCATCTTTAAAGCTTCCTTGAATTTTATTAAGAATCAATGCTTTTGCCCTCTTGCATTTTCCATGACTAACATTCAGCTCAAATGTATCTTTCGCGTCAGCCCTCGTCTATTTCACTTTATATTTTGGATTATTTTGTAACTTTTTTTTAAAATAATATGCAATAGTACAGTAGTCAATAGTACCATTATCATAAGCAATATAGCAATCATGATGTGGGTTTAAGGTCTTGATTCTTACCCCGGACAGTCCCCATCTTTAATGATTAAACAAACAAATGGGCAGCCAATTTGACACTCATACCTAAGCCTTGTTGTATCACTTTTTTTAAGAACTATCTCTTTCTTATTTATCATAGCATAGAGTTTCAGACACTTCCTAGCTTGAGAGATGTCCTTGAAGGTCATACTCTTGTTTAGTTCCTTATAATCAAGGAGCTAATCAGTAGTGCTCATGTTTCTTTGAGTTGCAATAGTATCTAATTCTTCAGAATCATACTCATCACTATCCTCACCATCAGTTGAGCTACAGTCAGTAGCAGCATCATAATCAGGTACTACAACCTCTACATATTGCGTAATATTAGGTACTTAGACTGATATCTCACATTCCTCAACAACAAACTAATTAATATTATTATAATCAGTAGTCTTCAGTACCAACCATTCTTAACAGGCATAATACCACTATCCCCTTCAACCTCATCGTAGCTACCATAAGGGGCAGAAACTATAAGTTGTTAAACACCAATAAATCCTAATTCATTGCAAAACTCATCTACAATATCTTTATAGGAAAGATGGTCAGAGTCATAACCTGTCCAAGTGTGCAACGGGTTCTTAGCATACTTCACTTGTGGCTCTCTACTCCATTCCCCCACCATAGTTGAATATTATGTCCAGATTAACCATATTGTTGATCTGAAATTAAATAACATAGAGAAAGATTAGATCATGAATGATAATAAATTCTAAGAAAGTTGAGCTAAGGAGACCAATCACAAACTAAACTAAATTAACTCATTACTAATCCATGCATTAAACAATACCATATAAGAATAGTAAAACAAAGAAAAACACATAAAAAAACAATAAAGTTCACATAACCTAAACCACCATAGCCATAAAACCATCTCCAAAACCCTAAACCACCCAAAGAGAAAAAAAAAATTGGGACCAGTACATCAACCAAAATACTGAATGTGTAAAAGAAATACAAAATTACTAAAATAATTGGATTACCCCACATTCAGGACCTCTAGTTTACTCACATGCAGTAAAGCCAAAATTTGGTCAATAAAGAAAAAGTCAAAAGTTGCATTAGAATAATCAGAAATTGCAGTAAAAATCATATACAAATTAATACATACACGAATCCTTAACTAGAATGATAAAATCAGGAAACCCTATACCCTAAACCTATAAAATAAACGCTAACTTAAGACACATTACTACAAAAATTATAGGCTAACAAGAATGAATCTATCATTTTGGTGAAATTTTATTACCTTTACACCATAGGAGATTCAAGAATAGGCAGATGGATGGAGTGTCGTTAATTTCGGTGGTCTGTTTTTTGGTCGTAGTGTGATTCTATGGCTGAGGAGAAGCTATTTAAATGAACCCGTTAAATGGTTACGGATCGGGTCGTTGATGGGTTTCAAATTGGGTGTTGGGATGGGTAACCAAGCGATAATTATAAAAAAAAAGGGTCGGGTGTCTTAAAATTGTGCCACGTGTCCGGGCCGACTGGGTCCGTTAATGAGAGGGATAGATTTATCAATAACCCGGCAGGGATAGAAAAGGTTGAATAGTATGATGGGGGTACAAATAACTAATATACAATAGTACAGGGACATAAATAGCGCTCTTCCGTTTTCTTGAACTAACTGCCTAGTCAATTCTAATCTGCTTTAATTATGCTTTTCTTGAGCCGAACATCTATCGAAAACACCTCTATACCTTCACAAGGTAGGATAAAATATGCATACACACTATCCTCTCCAGACTCCATTAAGTATATTATTGTTGTAACTGCCTAGTCAAATGATACCACATAAATTGGGACGGAGAAAGTAATATTTTTTTTGTGTGGACCTGACAATGACTTAACGAAGGTCAGTTGTGAAAGTGAAGCTGAAGTGGTAATACACGCCTTTCTAATGTCAGGGTATTTTGTTGGCTATTTTTTTTCCTGTTGTTGGACACGGGTGTCTTACTAACATAAAAGCTGAAGCATTACAACAGAGACAAGAAAAATAGTAAAAAAAACTGACGAAGAAGAGATTACTGGCAAAAATCTGCTTCGTCCGCTTTACATGAATTCATTATATGCACGTGGAAAAAATATCGTTGATCTTGAAGGTCATTTATCGAACTAAGAAATTTTACAGCCTAAGAAGAAATTATAGTACATCATCATCATCCTGTTGATAGTACATTGAAGCATCATCAAGTGGTAATGAAGGCGGAGTTCCGGGAGGGATGCAAGATTCACCATTCTCACCAGCACATATACACAAAGCCTCTGCATCCCTGAGAATAGCATCCAGGTCAATATGGCCACTCAGCTCATTGATAAATTTCAATAGCGTGTCGAAATCCATCTCCTCTCCTATTATTTTGCTTCGATATCTTTTCAGAATTGCGACACAGACATAGAGATGAAGGTGCTCGCTCCTATAATGCGTCCATAATACCTCCCACAACCGCATGGTTTTCTCAAATTCAAACTCCCTACAAAAGACAAATCAACAAATAAATAAACTAAACTAATACAGAAAAACAAATTGAAGCAGCAAATTGGAGCACATATTTAGTGGCATCCAAGGCTGACAGTAAAGAAAGCAGTACAGGATTTGAGAAAAGAGAACTGCACTGAAGAAACTAGAAGAACCACAATGGTAACTTTCAAACAATGATAGTGTATCCCAGCACAGTTCACAGTGGTGGGTAAGCAAATAAAAGAATTTTGCATAATTCATTTCTTTCGTTCTTTTCTCCCCATGGAGAAGGGTGCTGTTGGAGAAAAGGATGCACATCCATAAAATCTTAGTGCACATACGAAACAGGAAACCATGTCCCTTTGATAGGAAAGTGCTGACATGGGTTGTAAGCAAGTTAATTTGGATTCATGCCTGTTCGTGAGTATCTTGACTAATATCCAAGATAGTGGCAGTTAAAAGCTGAGCTCGTAACCTTGACTTTGTTTAATTGTGAATATTTCCTGTGAAGTACAAAATGGTAGCATTTTGATTACTCACACGTTTTTCTCTAATGAAGGGACAGGATTACCTATTCCCTTCATGCATTTAGCTTTATGAATGTGCAGGACTCATACGAGTATGCAGGCATGAGATGAAATAAACTTTGGGTAGGCTCAGGACATCTAGAAAATGGGCAGGATTCAAGGTATCAGAAGCGCATTCAGGTGAACAAGATAGGGAAAGAAAAATGTTACTTCAGGTCCCAGGACCAGTTAACTGTCTGAGGGTCAATGGAAGAACATAGTAAGACAAAGGGAAATACAAAAGTGGCATGCACACTGAAGGAAAGGGGCAGGAAGCTAGTACAAGAGATGGGATTAACAACTTCAAAGGGCAGCTAAAGTTCTTTGTGATTTTCCACTTAATCATATGGAACAGTCCAACTAAGATTCTTTTGAGCAGAAACATTCCAAATATAAGATTGAAAATAGTGATTAGAAATCAATGCAAAAGGAAAAAGAAGAAGATGAAAAGAGAGTATGCAGCTTGCCTTTTGAATTGTATAAGAACCCAGCGGAAGCAGAAGAAATAATTCAAGCAGTCCTTCTGTTTGAAATAATTATGCAGAGGGCTGTCTAACAACTCCACCAACTGCATAAGCACAGTAAAAACATTAATTTTCTGTAGGAAAGCAAATACTTATCAGCTCAAAGTGTATAATACAAAAGAAGAATCTACATAGCTGGATAGAATCAGAAGGTATGGAAACAAGGAAGAACTGGTGATGGCATGGGACTATTCACTTGCTGAACAGCCATTTTTTTTATGAAGTCACTTGCTGAACAGCCATTTTTTTTATGAAGTCACTTGCTGAACAACCAGTTCCTACCAGCTCAAGATAAACAGGCGGACACAGATATATAAAGCCAATGAATGTGTATCAACAAAGGTTAGGCTTTCTTAGACAGGTAGCATGTTAGTGTTGAATCTCCCACATCGGCTAAGGGATGGGGGACTAGGTCTCTTTATATGGCTTGAGTTGTCATCACCCTTTGAGCTAGCTTTTGGGGTTGAATTAGGCCCAAGGTCCATTTCTTTATCAGTTAGAAGACCAATAAAGCTAATCCTTTCATTTGACACCCAAAACTCAATAATTCTTAATTGCAATAAAACCCAATATTTTAAAGGCACGT